TTGCCATTTTTCTTCCGTTCATTTTTTCATTGTTTTACATTAAGTCACAGAATATATTGTTAATTGAACCGTAAGAATGTGGTAAGAATGTGCAATGAACCGTATATGAGATGTTGATATGATAATATTATTTTATATGCAATGAATCGAATATAATGATATGATAATATATTATAAGAAATATTGATCTCTCATTCGTTTCTTTTTTTCTTTTCTTTTCCTATTAATCTTCTCTTTTTACCTGTCTTTTATTCTTTTCTTGTATCTATTTAATAAAATTATAGAAATTTTTTTACAAATAGAAGAATTTTAAAAAATGTTATATTTTATAAAATGAAATCTTTCTTCCTTCTCTCGTTTCTTTTCTTTTCTCTTTTTCATTCCTCTATTTATTCCTACTCTTGTTCTTATTCTTATTCTTATTCTATTATTATTACTATTATCACTCTTGTTCCTTTTCTTCCTATTCTTGTTCTTATTATTATTACTATTATCACTCTTGTTCTTTTTCTTCTTATTCTTATTCTTATTATTATTATTACTATTATCAGTCCTGTTCTTTTTCTTCCTATTCTTGTTCTCATTATTCTTATTCTTATTATTACTATCATTATTCTTGCTCTTTTTCTTCCCATGCTTGTTCTTATTATTCTTATTCTTATTCTTTTTCTTGTTCTTTTTCTTATTATTACTATTATTATTCTTGTTCTTTTTCTCCCTATCCTTGTTCTTATCATTCTTATTTTTCTTCTTTTTATTAATATTATTACTGATATTATTCTTGTTCTATTTCTTCCTATTCTAGTTCTTATTATTCTTCTTATTATTATTATCATTCTTGTTCTTTTCCTTTCTATTCTTGTTCTTATTATCATTACTATTATTATCATTATCATTATTATTACAACATTTTAAGAGAGGAATGAAAAGAATTACGGGAAGATTGAATACCGGAATAATGTGATAGGGGAATAAAAAAAGGGACGGAAAAAAACCGGGGGAACAATGATGAAGATAAAAGACAGGAGGTAATACGGAATAAACTATTTAAGAAGAGAGAGAGAGAGAGAGAGAGAGAGAGAGAGGGAGAGAGAGAGAGAAATAAAGGGAAGATTTATGAATGATAATGTTTTTTTCATGAATAAATTGATGCAATAAATGAAGGTTGAAGACGACGCCACAATGGCGTGTCCACTATCCGATAAGAGGGGAATTAATCCATCCTTGTAAAGTATTACAACATCCAATCTCAAAAACTCTTTCCTAAATGATTGATTGATTTATTTGAAATCTTTTTATTCTTCCATCTCTTATATATCTCAACATCTCTCTTCATTTCTTCCTCCTCTATTTTCATTCAAATAAAAATTTACACTCTATACTCTTATTAATTTCAATTTTTCAATATCGATGAAATAGTAGCATCTTATTTCTTTTCTTTCCTTTACTCTCATCATCTCTCTTCTTTGTGATTTATAATGGTGTGATCTATTTCTGATCTTCTAATGTCCACTCATTTCTCTCGCTCTATCTTATCTTTTAATGTCCATTCTGTCCACTTCATTTTTCCAATTCCTTCATTGATAATTGTACCAAATGCCGCAAATATCTAATCTTCATTTCCATAATATTAATCATAAATATTGATCTCTATAATTAAGAAAATAATCTAATATTACTTATCATATTCATAGTGATAATCTTATCACTTTTTTTTTTTTTTAAATTGACTATTATTAAATTAATATTAAAAATTTTTTGTTTATTTATTTCAAATTTAAATTTAATCAAATTAAATTTTATTTTTAAAAAAACAAATATCCCATTTTAAAATAGTATTAAATGAAAATTTCTTTTTTGACAGTCCTTTTTCTAAAAAAAAAATTAATTTTTCAAAGAAAATAAGAAAATAATTAGCATAATTATAGGTGAAAGAAAAAAAGAAAAATACACATTTATAATACTATAATCTTTTCAACAAACATTTATAACAATCTCTCCTTTTTTCCTATACTCTTTTAAAATTGAAAAAGAAAAAAAGAAATGAGAGAAAGAAAGGAATAAAAATTAAAATTTTTAGACGAAAAAAGAAAGACTATGCTAATTTATTTTTTCGAAACAAAGAAGAAAAGAAAAGAAAAGAAAATGATTGAAACATTTAAAATGATACTTCGGAAACTAATTAATTAACAATTAAACAAATAAAGTTGACTAATGAGAGGAAGAAGAAAAAGCATTAAGAATTTGTAAATTTTACAAATACAATTTTCACTCCAATAAAACAATTTCCTAAGTAATGTTAAGAAAACAATTCAGAGAAAAAAGAAAGAGAAAAGTTTTTTGTTTTTCTCTGACAGTTCTTTTTTGTTTTAAAAAATTAATTTATTGAAATAAAAAAATAGAGAAGGTAAGGAGAATACGCAATATTATGATAGGTATGAGACGCATTAATACTATAACCTTTTCAACATATATTGTAAATGATTGAATTATTTGATTTAATTTTTTAGAAAAAGACATCGAAGAAAAATTGTTTATATTATTTACATTGTTTATATTATTTATCTTTTATTGATTATTTATTTACACATCTTATAAAATGTAATTACAAGCAACTATCATATCTTATAAATGATTTAATATCTTTATATTGATTATTCTTTATTTACACATTTTATAACATGTATGATCATATCTTATAAATGATTTGATATCTTTATCTTTATGTTGATTATTTATTTACACATTTTATAAAATGTAATTACGAGCATATATTATTATATTTATTCCTGTATAATTTATAAAATTGAATTAATTAATTAGTTAACTGATTGTATGTTAGAAATTTAAAAATTTCCAATTTAAGTATTTATGTTTTTATTTGTAAAGTATAATAGAAAGAATCCATTTGATATATATTGATAATAATTAAATTCTCTAATCATATCAAGATAATTATAATTTCTTGATTATTACGAATGATTTACTTCATCAATGATACATATATATGATTTCCTCTTATTTTTATAAAAAATTATAATTATCTTAAATATAATTAGATAATTTAATGATTATAATATAATTTTAATTACTATAATTTCATATTCATTCCTTCTTATTTTCAAATTACTATATAAGTAGTTTGTTGTTTGTTTATTATTTTCCATATAAGCTATCTGCTTATTTAAATTATTAGAAAAACAAAGCTTGATAGAAAGAAATAAAAGAAAACAATCTTTGAAAATATATTAAACTGAATTCTTAACAATCTTATCATTATTCCCTAAAATATAGTTTAATCGTTAATATCTCTTTCAATTCTTAACGATCTTATCATTATTCCCCAAAATATAGTTTAATCGTAAATATCCATATCCTAATAATTTTTTCCCTTCTCTTCAGTATTTCCCGTTTTTTACTTTTAAATCTTTCCAATACAAAAAAAATATACTATTACATCGATAGTATTATCATATCAACAAAAATTTTTGCTTCCTATTATAATTTTTACAATATATTTTAAAATGGTACAAATTATTTGTTGAAACTTTCATTTCGCATTAATCTAAAATAATTTGATATGATAGAAAATGAAAAGTTCGATTTATACTGTAAATTAGTACTTTTAAATTGTATATTTATCCTAAAAATTGGTACTTTTGGTTCGTTAGATTTATACTGTAAATTGGTAATTTTATGGAGAAAGTATCATTTTATAGTATAAATCTAACTTTTCCTTCACTTTTTTTAAATCCTAAATGAAATTTTGAAATTTTCTTAAATTTCAAAAAAAAAAAAACAATTGAATGAATTATTAGGCTAATTAATGATGCCGTATTTTCATATTCTTATAATATGAAATCTATAAGATTTAAATCCCTAAATTTTTTAGCAAAATTTTCATAATTCAACAAAAAACAATTGAACTATAATTTCTCGTCCTATTTTTTTTTTTTTTTAGCATATATCTGTCCATATAATTTATTAATTATGCTAATTAATTAATGAATCTGTATAATATTAAAAAAAATATAAAAATTTTCGTTTTTCTATTTTTTGCCAATCCATTAGAGATTACGTTCATTTTCATTTTCAAACTGTGTAAAATTTCAAAAAGCTTCCGTTCAACAATCATTAAAGAAAGTGTAAAAACAAAAGAGAAAAGAAAAAAAGGAAAAAATTGAATTATCTTTGAAAACGAATTTTTCGTTTTTGTTTACAATTACTTACAAAATGTAAGAAAGTATACGAAGGTCTTTTTTTTTTTTATAGCTAAATTTAAATAGAATTAATTAATTGTTTGGTTAATTAATTAATGCTAAAATTAAACTTTCAAAATGTTATCTTTTTTTACTTTAAATTTATAATTTTCTAATTTTAATTTCAACAAATTTAAATTTGGTTAAGATAGCAAAAGAAAAAAAAGAAACAACACAAATAGAAGCTGTCAATATATGTATTGGTGAAGGTATTTTATTGCACACTCATTTTCACTTATTTATTCATATAAGTAAAAGCTGTCAGAAAATTATTTCATTTGAAAAGGTAAAAATTACTTTTTAAATTCATTTTCAAATTTATAAATTTTCAAATTTAAATTTTGAAATATGAAAAGTTTAATATATCATAGATTACTTTGTTCATGTTAAAGGAATACTGAAATTTATATTTTAAAATATAAATTTTTCTAAAGATGGGAATACTTTTGTTCAGGCAGATTGTTAGTAAGTAATTAAAATTTTTTGAATGAATTTGATGAAGATAGAAAAAGGTGGACAATTCTTTTATAATTTAAAATAAAATAATAACGAAATTAAACTGTACTAATATTGTTTAGTAATTTAATCAGTTTGATTTCCTGGTTTCAATCTTATAGATTAAATTTAAAAATTAATAGTATCAATTATCCATCAAGTTTCTTATTACCTATGCAATTCGATAGAAGTATTATATATTTTATTTGTTTTCATATTCAATTAATTTTTGGTTTTAATAGTGATTTAACGATATGTTTGAATTGTATAATATTTTTCAGCTAAGCATTTCTAAACTATTCTAAACTAAAACTTTAAAAATAAGGATTTTAAAAAGATGAATAATTAAAATAATTGAGATAAAACAATGATATACCTGAATGGAATGAGCAGAATTGAGTTCAATCCTTCGTATTCGATAATCTAATTGACTGATCCTTAGATGTTGAAGTACCAAACAACCCGCAATACATAGTAACATGAAGGCAGCAGCAGCTTTCAATAAAATATTAATCGAATTTCGATCGATTTGTAAATAATGATAGCTTGTTGACCCAAAAAATGGTCCATTAGCATTTTGTTTCATTTTTTTCACTTCGATATTATCATCACTATTATCATTATCGTTGTCATCATCATTATTATCATTACCATCGTTATTACTTCCATTATCATGATACTGAGCACATGAATTACGAATCATACGATTCGGTTGCATGTTTACGGTTGTAACTGGTACGTAGAGATTTCCAGAGGTTGAAGAGGACGAGCTCGGTAGTAACGTCATACGACATCGCTCATCTTTGGAACAGTTATCGTCTACTATTTGCATGTTGACATCTAGCCGAATCTAACGTAACAAACACGTTAAATATAATGCGTCACGTGTATAACTTTGAAACGTATAGAAAACGTAAGACGTATAATGAACAGTAAATTTGTTGAAGTTTTCAAAATATCATCAAATATATTGATTACAAATCATATTAGGATGATAATGCATTAAATGATAAGCTTTAAAGTTTATCAGTTCAAATTTTTAACTTGATTTTTGATTTGCATTTTTTATTAGGAAATAAATTATAAAGTTAATTAATATGTTACATAAAACAAATTATGTATATCGTTGTGAAACGTATATAATACACATATGTTACAACGTGAACTAAATGATAAAGAATGATAAACACTTGTTAAATTTTACATAATATCATCAAATATCAAATGTTAATTATCATTTTGATAAATGATATGATATGAATATGTTCAAATTTCATTTTGAAATTTTAAATTTTCATAAGAATTAATAGTGGATCGATGATATTATTAAAAAATTAAAGCATTGCAATTAATTAAATCCTTAATAAGCTTCTAAAGGATTAAACATATAATGAATGGAAAAAAGAAAAAAAAAAAGTTTAAAACAAAAGCTTTGTTGAAATAAATAAATAATTGCTAAAAATTTTTAAGTGGCACTAACAAATAAATCAGCAACAATTTATGTTTAAAAATTTTTTCAACAGAAGAAAACGAAAAACAAAAATTGTTTGTAATCAATTTTTCAATTGTTAAACAAAAAAACTCATCGATACATTGTAAAATATTATTATCAGTTGGATTAACACCAACATTATTCACACATTGTTGGAAACAAATGGAAAAAAAAAAAGCTGTCAACAAATATAAGCCATTTTTTTCTACGTTATCATTAAAATGATAGCTGAAATGATAATGAAAAATATAAACGAAAAATTTTTTGATAAGAAAAGCTCTTTTTTTTTTTTTCTTTCTTTTTCATCTCGGTGTTCTTTCTTAATTTACGACAAACTAATCATATTAGGATGATAATACTTTTTTAATGATATGCTTTATCAGTTCAAAATTTCAACATGATTTTTGATTTGCATTTTTAGAAGTTAGCAAAATGAGGATAGGATGAAAAGGAAGTTAGAAGATGCATTTAACATAATTCAATTTTATCGATAATTTTTTTTTTTCGAAAGTATGAAAATCAATCAATCAGTACTTCATTTCTAATATCAGTATTTGATTTCTAATTATCTTTTTCATTGTTTAATTTCAAAAAGAATTTATTTGTTTATTTTAAATTATTATTTTTCATTTCCAATAATAATCCGCTAATTCATTTTAATCGAATTTACAATGATAAAGAAATAAATCGACTTATCGATTATCACAGCAGGTGTTCGTTCTTATGGAATAATGTTGAATTGAAAGAAAAAAAAATATATTTTTTTAAACCTATAAAAATTGCTATATATAATAAAATATTGCACCCGATATTCTTAAATAATCAAACTGAAAATTTCATTCTATTTTTAAATTAATTAAAATAAGTAATTATTTAACAAATTAATTAAATTAACCAAATAATTAATTATTTCATCACTTCTACCGCTAATTTTGCAAAAAACAAAGAAACAAAAAGAAATTGTAGCAAAAAAGCTTTTCACTGTTTTCTTCAAAAAATTTCAAATATCATTTGAATGAAATTTCCAAAAAATAAATATTTCAATTTTTAATTTAACAATTTTCTCAATGAAAAAAAGGAGATAAGACAAAAGATACAATCTTACCTGAAAAGGAGAGAAGAAAATAATGAGATAATAAATGATTACTTATTGTATACCCAAAATTCATATTCACTTCTTTCCATTAAAATTTTCTATTTTATTCATTCTTTCCATTGAGAAGAATGATAAAGAAAGATATGAAATATCTTTAGAATGATAACGAAAGATATGAAATAGAAGACTCGTTATCATTCTTAATTTTAGAGATAAACTACCAATCAAATAATTAACAATTTGATTGATCAATTTCATATTTCTTAGTGAAATTTCATTCCTTCTAAATTTTATCAAATTCTACAACTTTTAAATTATCAAATTTAAAAATTATCAAACTCTTCAAATTACTACCTATATGCTAATCGTTTTAATCATTCATGCAAAATGATAAGAAAAAAAAGGAGAGGGTCTTTATCTTATCAATGTTATCATACATTAAGCATTTCAATGATAATAAATGAATAGTATCATCAAAAGTTAATGCTTACCTTCGAAAATTTCAAAATCAAAATCATTTAATATTCCTAATTAAAAATTAATTTGATAAGAAAGTATGATTATTTTCTCGAGAAATATTTGAACGATTGTATGATAACATAGTACAAATTGAATTTTATGAAACAAAGAATTAAAATGAGTAATTAAAATTTTTTTAAATGAAGAAATTCAATTATTTTACTTTCTTCTTTTACACGTATTATTTAAATTATAAAAAATTTTAATAAATTATTTTTATTTAGAAAGAAATTGTATTACTTAATTTTTTTATATAATTAATTAGGAAGATAATAGTGAAAAAAAAGACATATTGAGTAATTAATTATGCCAAATAAAATTTAATGACAGATATTAACGTATCACATAATATTTTAAATTACATATATATATAATTTGAATAGTATAAAATCGTAAGAAAGTAAATGTAATAAATCAATCATTATTGAACAAAAATACATTCCAATTAATTAATTATCTAATAAAATAATGATTTATTGAAATTTTTAAATTATGAAAAATTTTAATTATAACATATTTCATCCTAACCATGCAATATAATTATATGAAAAGATTTCAAATTTTGATTTCAATAGAAATAACTCAACAGGCGGCAAGCAAAACATTCCGTTCAACTGAATAATCTTAAGAATGTGTGTGTGTGTGTGTGTGTGTGTGTGTGTGTGTGTGTGCCTGTCTGTCTGTCTGTCAATCCGTTTGTGTCTTGTGAAGTTCGAAAGATCCTCCAAAAGCAAAACTATTATAAAGCCATTATAAAGCTATTAAGGCCCATACTACTACTACTACTACTACTGCTACTACCAACGATTACCAACTATTACCAACGATTATCAACTGCTACCAACTATTACTACTACTTTTTAGGGCCACACATCTTAAAATAGTAGGAAATGCAATTATTTCAAGCATATTTCAGTACAATTTTAGTTGCAGACAGAAAGGTGAAATTTTCGAGGGAAAAAGTTTCCAGTTCAACTAATTCAATTAAATTTAAAATTTTCAATTTCATTTTATTGCCGTTGTAAATTATAAAATTTAGAAAGAGAGAAAAAATTTATGATATACAATTTTTAGAGAAAAAGAGAGAAAAGAAAAGTAAAAACAAACGGAAAGATCATTTATGCTAATACTATATTATTATTACTAAATCAGGTAAATTTTGTAAATGCTAATATTATATTATTATCAGTAAATTAGGCAAGTTTTGTAAATGCTAATATTATATTATTATCAGTAAATCAGGTAAGTTTTGTAAATGAAGTTATTTAATTCAGGTAAGTTTTGTAAATACTAATATTATATTATTATCAGTAAATCAGGTAAGTTTTGTAAATGAAGTTATTTAATTCAGGTAAGTTTTGTAAATGAAATCATTAGCAATATGTTCAATTGTTTTTTAATTAATGAAATAAAAATTAAAATAAAGTGATACAGATCATTTCATTCTCAGGAATGTTAAGAATAATAAAATGTGAAAGATGAATCAATAGATAGTAAAATATATATCCCTTTCATTTTAACCGTGTGAAAAAAATCTGTACTTAAAATTGAGTAATCATTAAATGATTAAACAGAACATTTAACTTATCAGAAATTTTCATTCGGTAAATTAAAAGTGCTTTTAGACAATTAAAATTAAAATTTCAATTAAAAATTTTATGAAAATTGTAGGTGTTGTAAAATTGAAAAGAAAAACAATGAACAATTTTTGAAACTACGAAAATGTTAGCATTTTAAAATTAACAAATTGGTAATTATAGCAAACCAATGAAAGGATATTATGATATAGGAAGAAATTAATTAATAAATATAATTAATTATTCAACAGTAGCCAAATGAGAGGAATTAATAAGTTGAAATATTGGATGATAATTTGAATTATTTAAATTCCCATATGATATAATGATATCGAATGAATGCAAATAGTGATAGTGATAGTGATAAATTTTATGATGTTCATCTTTTAGCTTTAACAAAATATTTGTTTCAACAATAATTTTTGGTTCATCATTTTATCATCCCTAATTGCAAAACTATTCATTAGCTTTAAATTATAATCGAATAATAGGAAATGAATAATAATAATAATAATAATAATAATAATAATAGTAATAAATGAAAATTTCAAGAATATGATAACCAGTATTAAAATTAAATTTTGAAAAACAAAAGGAAGAGGAAATATGATAGTAATGGAGAAATAAACATAATAACGGATAATTATTAATTGTTTATATGAAATAAATAATTAAAGTAAACAATAAAGTTTGAAGATTGATAAATAAACAATAATAAGTTTAAGGAACAAATCGGTTAAGAAGAACACTATCATCACATTTCTTCGAGTGAAAAGAGGAATTATTTCCGATCCGGTGCAATGGATAAAGGAGGCGCCATGAAAATAATTATACGCGCTCCGCCTCGATTGGTTTATATACCTCAGAATTATTTCACTCTTCCATCTCGCCGCTTTTTATTTCCTCTAATTTCTTACCCATTTTTTTCCATCCTTTTACTCGAGAATAACAAATCATTCCAAGTTGAATATTAATCAGCTGAATGATTATTCCATATCAGTTAACTAATTTCGTATTAAACAATTTTATTATTACATTAATGAATCGCAGAATTTAATAATTTTGATTAAGGAAATTTATATTCGAACGCGTAACCTTTGACCTTCTACCACATCACATTAATAAAATGTAGAATTAAGTGATTTTGA